GGGCGTCACGGGGCGGCTGCGTGCCGGAGGACGGCCCTGAAGTAGTTTCCCCCCGGCCGCTGCATCGGAGCTGAATGCTCGCCAGCCGCTGGTGGTCCCCTCTGCAACTTCGGGCCACCTTTCATTTTTATCCTTAGGTTGTAAACCTCCATCAGCTACAACTGCTTCTTTTCTCCATCTTCTCCCTCCAACTCCCCACAATTACAGTGTGGATTTGACGGAAAATTCTGTATTTTAGGCAAGGAACAGTCCTAATCTCATATTTTATAGAGATCCTGTGTGCAAGTGCCATGTTGGTAAACTGATGCATTTATAATTAACTACATCATTCCTATTTGTTTTTTTTTTCCCGCTAGCTGGCACAGTTTGGACTCTTAAGTGTGTAGCTTCAGGCCCTCTTCCTGCAATATGTTTTGCGTCACTCAGATACGAAGTCTAAGGTTGCTGGGACAGCACATGGGTCTCTAGGTAGGACTGCCAACAGTCCTTGAGGATTTAAGAACAAAATGAAACTAAGCCCAGATCCTAAGTCCACGTTTCATATAAGAAAATCAGATTTCAGCAGAATTAGGATGGGTCATCTGCTTAAATTAAAGCTGAAGTTAAAATGTGTGCTTTAGGGAAGAAAAATCTGGTGGAACTTGTCATACTTTCTAATGTTCTTGTGCTCAAATTATTGCTTGGGTTTTTGAGGTATATCTAGGATGGCAACAAGCCATCCATGTAAGAATTCAGTGTCTTAGACCATATTAGCATATTGCTCATCTTAGAACTTTAATCTTTTTTTTAATTGTAGTTTTAGAGTATACTGTTGTTTTTTTTTTATTTAGAGCTGTTTGTCATGCCTATGCCTTTTTTTTTTCTTTCCCCCCTTGGGCCAGCTATTTATTTTCATAAATTTACTGGTTTGTGAAAGCAAGTAATTGGGGTATGATTATGTTTACATAGCGTGAGGGTTTTTTTTGTTGCAAATAACAGTTTCCCAGAACTTTTTTAGGTTTACATGAAAAATGTCATGACTGTTGAAAGTTTTTAATCTCCTAGCTTATCATATAAATCCCTCATAACCTAATTTTTGATGGTATGCTGCATCAGGTATTTTTTTTTTCTTCAGCTGGCTAATTTACAGTATATTGCATCTGTAAACACTGACCATCTGTTCTTTATGTTTTTTTGTAATTGTGGCATCAGAATATTTTAGCAAATACTCTAGCCAAACTAACTTCCAAGCTAGATTTTTTTGCTAGAGTCACTGAATATAACTGAATATGACTGAATATAAACTCTAAGATCAGCCATGGAAGAGTTTTTGTTATTATAATATGTTCATTTGAAATGGATAAGGTTGAGATGGAAGTGATTTAATTAAGAGGTTCTATTCTTCCTTTGATTATTATAATTGCATACCGTGCATTATCACAAGTGCTCCTTCTGTACTCTATTCAGCAAGTTCCATTGAGAATGCTTCTGGAATACGAGTTTAGGCAAAAGCTACATTGACTTCTAAAGAAGTTTGGTTTTTTTAAGGCTTGTGGGGATTCACAGTGTGGTTATTTTCCATTTTCTTTGACAGGTTATGCAGGGATTGATATTATCAACTATACGCAACACTGAAAAGATCAGCCCCTAGACTCAGAATAAACCAAAATGTACTGGAACATGTCCATATGCATTTTAATTTTTTGAGAAATCAGTAATGTAATATGTGCAAGTGCAGATGACTAAATGGAAGTGTGATTGTTGCTCATGTCAGTATAGCTAGGCTGGTTTCATCTATAGGAACTGCTAAGTGTTGAGTTTCACAGGTGCAGGCTTCACCATTTGCTTGCTGCAGAATATTTTCCTGTTGTGGGTCACAGCCAGGTATTCTGGTAGCCAGAACATGCTAACGGCTCTGATACTGCACCTTCATAGCTAGCTGTACCCTTTGAAGCTAAGAGCACCTAGCACACATATGTTGGCATGTGCCCCAGTCACCTTGATTTTGCTGTATTCACATACTGATGGTCTGTCCATGCTCCTCGCTAGTGGGGGCGTATAGTCCAGTTAAGATGATGCAGGAAAAAATTAGTGACATAACCTCTTTCTATTTAATATAGGCCAAGAATCAACTATTGCAGACAGACGCATTTTGTCAGAAATATGGAGGAATAGAAGGTTGATGGCATCACCTAATGGGACGTATGAAGAAAAGAACTGTACAGAGCCAGGTAAGATGGGAAAACTTTGCCATGTCTTATAAACTCTTGAGATTGTTGCGTACTGCTGTCATGACCAAGCTGCAGTGATATGTTAGGGTAAACATAAAAGTGTCAAATTTAAAAAAAAAAAACCAAACCAAAACCAGGACTGTTTTGTGTGGAAATAAGGCTTATTGTGCTATATAATGGCATGACTTTACCTATCAAAAGTAAAAGTTAATGTTCAGATACAAGAATGTTTTGGGGTCATTATGAGACTTGTGCTGACAATTTGATTTCTGTAATTTTGCTTCTTTTGGTGATTATTCCTACCTAGCCGATGCTGTCTATATTGCACTGGTAGTGAGAGGTGTACTCTTGTTGAAACTATGGGTAGCTAAACGTGCAGTGTTTGAGGTACCATCTGAGCACAGTAATTTGTGTTCATTACCATTATGCATTTAATCATGTTTTGCTAGTTTAATGATAAACTATGTATTCAGAGTAGGAATTTGTATTGTGTGGAGGGGGATGATGAGGTAAGTAATATGGAAACCCTGGAATCCATTTTACTTCAGGATATCTGTCCTGGCCAGGTGATAATTGATTGAGGGCAGGGATAGATGACGCATTTTAATATCAGAGTTAGTCCACAATGCTTTCATCTTCCCATCTGTCTTTCTAGTGTGTATTTCCTTGCCTCACTGCGGTTTACAGTGTGTGGGAGACGAGACGTTTTGCCAATGGCACTAGCCAAATTAATTTAAAGTTCAGCTTTTTTTTTTTTTTTTTAATATGACTCTCTGATCAACTCTTTGATGACAGCAGAGTCTGTGCCTTCTTGCAAACAGTGACAGCATGAGTTCTAGGATATTGTCAGCCCCAGGCACTAAAAGAGTTTGGGGCAGTACTCCCCCCTACTTAGTTACATGTTTGTTGTAATGCTGAGGCACCTGTTGTGTAGATTGAGGATCACTACTGTGCTTATGCACTTCTGAAAGAGGAGCAGAAGAACATTGCGTGAAGTATGTGAGTCCAAAAGCTTTAACTGTATCATCTTGATGTCGAAGAGCTTCTCTGTGCTTCTGTTAAGAACTTTGTGGGTTAGTTTGCTGTTGTCTGTGTCTGTAACCTTATGATGCTGTTGATTTGTCTGTCAAAGCTGTTCACAGACAAGAAAGAAGACAAAAATGACCTTTTGGAAACATGTAATTATTCTTGATGAATAGTCAGAAAATACTATTCTTTCCCACTCTTCTTTCATTTTTCTCCACATATGTGGATGCATCAATGTGATCATGTCTGAACATGTACTTGGCAGCAAGCTTGGAGCCAAGCCAACAAAGGCCACAAAATCGTAGAAGGTGGATCAGAAAGATGCCCATCAAAGTTCTTGTATAGTATGAATGAGAACTTTTTTACAATGATATGATAAAACTGCCAAGGGAAAATGTATGCTTAGGTGTAAATTGGAATACCAGGAGCAGTGCTGACTTCTCCAGATGTTTAGAACAAATAGCTCAGCTCCCTCCATTCCTCTAAAATTCTAAGATTAGTTTAAGAACAATTAGAATAAATAAATACAGTCGGGTCATTTTGATATGCTTTCTGAAATTCAGGTCATTAAGGTGCAGTTTTCCCTGTAACCGTAAGAGCTGGACACAAGAGAGGCCCAAATATGCCTCAGGATGCTGAGGTTTTAAGAAAAATGTCATGAGACTTGCATTAGATTCATGATTTCTCGTCACAGTGCTGGAATTAGCCTTTCTTTTTAAAGGTGTTTCTTCTGTTAAAATGCAGATTCACGGATGAAATATGTCACAGGATTGCAATGTAGCATTTTTTAGTCACTTCCTGTTATTCTGCAGTTTTGTACAGCTTATCTCTGTGTCTCTTCTGCAGCTGAAGGGGGGATTTAGATGAGAGTGGCTAGATGTAAGATAGCTGCAAATAAAGGGAGCATCTGAAAATACCTGACATCATTGATGTTTGTTGGACAGGAATGGGTCTGTAAGAACCCATGATTGTTATTGCTCAGTAACAACTTCTGTAGATTGGGGTTTTTTGGGTTTTGAGGGGGTTTGGTTTGCCCTTTTTTTTTTTTTTTTTTAATTCTTGTCTGGTAGCCTGAGATTGAGATTTGCCCTGTAATGAGAAGAAGGTACAATGACCTAAAACCTATCAAAAAGGAGCAAGTAGCATAGCTCATCTCCACGGGAATGTAGCTTGTGTCACCCCATGACTACATCTGGAGAAGGTAGTCCCAGGAAAGGTCAGGAGACTTGGTCAAGATTGCATAGAAAACTGGTGAAAGAGTGTGGATTTTCAGTTGGAATATGCAAGCTTTCAGTCATGTGCTTATCCCAGTGTAATGAAAATCTCAGGAATATGCTGTCAAACACTTTAATTGGCTGGACTTTATTTCTGGTCTTCTTTTTTTTTAATCTTAAGAATAGATAGTTAATGTGTATATATGTTGTATGAATACAGTGCTCTCTGTAGGCTCCTTTATGAGAAGTACTTATTCTTACCTATGTCATTTCTGTATCTGCCTTAAGCACTAGGGGCCCTACAAATGCATGAGTGTGTATATGGTATCTAGCAGTTTTCTTATGTTATGCGGATGTTTTTCTATGTGTGTTTAGGATACAAGAACTTCATAATACCTTGGGAAATGCAAGTTCTTGCTGAGAGTCTGTTAATCCTTTGTGTCATTGCAGTGCTATTGCTGTGCTCCTTCTTTATTAGCTTCCCACACAAGTCTGCAGCTTTACTTCCCTTTTCCCAAAGGCTCTCAACAAAGTTAATTTATTTACCACTTCACACCCTTTTTTTGCTTGCATGCAAATAAAAAAAAAATACCCAGTTGTCGGAAATTGCAGCTATAGAAGTTTATAAGACCATGAGATCCTTGCAGTTCATGACAGTGGTAAGAAAGGCTCACCCTTGGTGATATGTCTTGGGAGAAAAACTCCATAAGCTTCTAGAAGTAATGTTAGAAGCTTGTGGGAGCTGCTATCTGCTAGAAGCTCACATAGCCTACACTGTCTGAGATTGTCTCATTTACTGAAGTAGATCATTTTGTATTGTGTTCTACTGGCAACATTATTAGTGCTTGTGGGGCCATTGTATCAGAACAGAAAAAACTTTGAAGTCTTGGCAATGCTGCTTTAAAAAAGAGCCCTGAGGCTCTGACAAAGGAAAGGAAAATATATATGTGTGTGTGTGTGTGTGTGTGTGTGTGTATATATATATATATATATAACTAGAGGAGAAGGGTTTTTCTAACATTTGGAGGTTAGAGGGACTGATATTCATGAATATCTTAAGAGGCGCTACACATTTTTTCTGATAGTAACTATTCTGCAGTCATGGGGGGTTATAGATACTACCTATCCTGTAACAGCAGCAAAGGAACAGTAGGTCAGCAGCAGGAAGGAGGTGGAGCATTTGTGAGCACCAAGCCAACCTCAGTTCTAGTCTGGACTCAGACCAAATCCTCACCAAAGTTAACGTGTTGTGTAGCATTTTTCCATTAAAGATCCTTCCTGGCTTGAAACTTCCTCTTTGTTGGAAGCTCCTCTGCCATGAAAAGATAAGAGTCTTTATATTGTCCTGGAGCCAGACTGGGGGGCTTATAGATTGTATGTAGAAGGCTCTGGACTTCAGAAATTTCATGAGAGCCTGGGATTTTTGAATTATGAATCTTATGCTTATTTCGTACTGAGTAACTCTCTGGAAGGCAGCTGCGGGTATCCCTCTTTGAGGGAAACCAAACTACCTTTTCTTTATGGCTCTGAAGACTTCTCCTGGGTAAATTTCTGTGGGAGGAGGGTTGATCTGACCCTCGCTTAAAGCAGAGCTATCAGAAAGGGAGAGTAGTTGTCTCTAGCATCTTAACAGATCTCATTAGTTTGCAACCAAATTTTTGCCCTATCCAAGCTCTCAATTCCATCTGCCATCAGCTCGCTAGCTTGCAGTGCCATCTGCCCAGCAAGTCTGATTTATAGCTTCGCGGCTCCAATGGCTCGCCTCTTGTTTCAAAATGTTCCCATGACTCCACGTCCTCCAGAACTGTGAGTAATGTTTCCAGAGCAGTTACAAGCTGGGGTGACTGGGTGGTGCGATGTTTCTAACCATGTGACTCCACTCGGTTATGTTAGGCTGTTAAAGCAACTGATCTGGACTCCTTTCCGTTGCGAATGTTTTCAAGTAATCCCTGTATACAGTACAGAGAATATTTAAACTACTTGCTGTGAATTAGAAATGTATTGGAATGTATTTCCATTAGTCTTCTGACACTAGTCAGTGAGCTGCCTTGAAACTGAAAGAGTCGGTGGGGTTTTCTGTCCAGTGGTTTGTCAACCGTGGACAGTTCATGAGCTACGTTGATTTTAAATAGCTGGGGATTTGGTTCCAGTGTGCTTCTCCCATTGTTATCAGGAGTTAAAGATGAATTGTGGGCTGAGGGAAAGGGAGGGGTTAGCATTTCTTTCTGAGCTGTGCTGCCTTTTTACTTTAGAATTAGAATGCTTTCTGTCCTTGCAGTGAGAGAAAAAGAATCAGTCCTTTACAGTGAAATAAAGTATGTTTCCCAGCAGCATGTGTGTAACTGAGTTCTGAGTCAGGATCAAAAGTCGTTAAGTCTGTGTATATTTTACACTGTTAGTTATAACCTTGGGGACTCATGTAGGATGTGATGCATTATAGAGAAACTACAGAAGTCTTAGACAGCTTTGTTAACATACCATAGAGAGTACAAGAGCCTGTTACTTTTTCTACAAAAATCGATGATAGTGTTCTCACTGACTAGAGAAGACAGGACTGACCCTTCAAAGTAATTTTCCAAAAGAATAGAAAAAGCTATTTCTTGTACATTTGTAGTAAAGACCCTATAGGAAGCATTGATTTCCATCAATTTTATTTAACAAATGCAGTGCTTAGTTAAATGCATCATTCTCAATATGCTGGACTGATGTATCCTTTTTTTTCTTAATCCTTACAGACACCTTAATATATAAGATCATAAA